CCCCACCAACATCCTCAGTCTCATTGCCTCCCTGCTCCTCCTCCTCACACCACCCTGTCTCGAGCACACGTAGCCTGTCCTCCCACCCCAGGACCTTTGCACATGCCATTCCCTTTCTCTGGAGCACTGGATGATTTTTTTCTCATGTTGCAGGCCTCTGCCCAAATGTTTTTCCTCAGAGCATTCATCCCTGACCATTTGCATCTCAAGGTGCTCCCTACAGACATCACTTTTTAAAAAACATTTTATTTGAAAACAATTTACAATTTATGGATAATTTGCAGTGATGAGAATGGGACCAAAAACACCTGCATACTCCTCACCTACTGTTAATTTTTTTATTATTTACTTTGTTATTTGCTCTTGTTCTTTCTCTCTGTCTCTATCACTGCATCTCTCCTCTGTGTCTGTCTCTCTCACAAACATACACATTTTGAGGGTGAATTGCAAATGTCACAGCCCTTGGACCCTAAATACTTTGGTGTGGGATTCCAAAAAATTGAGTTATGCTCTTATGTAACTACAGCTTAGCTCTTGACTTTGGTAACATTGAAATTAACATTAACATTGACATAGTATTTTCATCGGCCGTCCACGTGCCAATTTTGTCAACTAACGCAACAGTGCCCTTTATAGCATGCCTTTCCCCTCCATCACCCCATCTGATCCGGGGTCAGGTATTGTTTTCAGTTGCTTTGTCTCTTTGGTCTCCTTCAGCCTGAAATAAGTGTCCATAATCTTTCATTGTCTTGTATGGCATTGACATTTTTGAAGAATACAATGTTTTTAGTGAAACATTTCTCACTTGGAGTTTGTCTGCATTTCCACCTGTTTGTGTGTGGGTTGTTCCTTCCTAGCTGGTGTCAGTGGCGTTAGGGGTGTGCACTTCTAGGGCATCACAACTGGTGGCCCCTGGTGCCCGCCTGGACCTCCATGGTGGTGCAGTGGTTGATGTTGTCACCCTGGTGGGGTGGGTCCTGATTTCTCCACTGTATAACTTTTACCTTCTCCTTTCATTGAATACCCAGAGACATCTGAAGAGCGTGCGAACATCCTACTCCTTGTCAAAGCTTTCCACCAGATTTATCAGCCATTGATGACTCTTGCCTGCGTCAATCTTTGCCACAATGGCTGCAAAACGTTGATTTTTTCCACCCAAGTTCCTCCCCCACACTTCCCAGCTGGCTTTCTATGTTCTGTTGTAAAAAAGGCCTCCCTCCTCCCACATTTATGTGTCTGTTTATGAAGTCCTATTTTTAGTGATTGTAATCATTGCTCAGCTTAATTATTTTGATGCCCAATTGGTTCTAGATCTGGCCAGTAGGAGCCCCTGCCAACTGGTTCCTGAATCCTTGTCACATCCCACCATCATTTTTTTTATTAGTAATTTCTTCCTTTTTTAGTGCATAACAACATGTTCCAGGCTTATAATGTACTGATCCTGCCCCAAGTTTAGAATCAGCATTTCTCCAAGGAGCCCTGGATCCCATTCCCAAGGATGGCATTAGAGACCAACATTCGGGTACAGGGCGTGCTCACTGTCACTGAGGTGTCTGCTTCAGAGCTCTCTCAGCAGACACAGCCACATACACAAGATGTGTGCGTGCATTCAAGACCTTACATACACACACCACATCATGTTCTATAATAGCATGTCATTCCATCATGTTTTTTTTTTTTTTTTTTGAGACGGAGTCTCACTTTGTCACCAGGCTGGAGTGCAACAGTGTTATCTTGGCTCACTGCAACTTCCACCTCCTGGATTCAAGCGATTCTTGTGTCTCAGCCTGCTGAGTAGCTGGGATTACAGGCATGTGCCACCACACCCACCTAATTTTTGTATTTTTAATAGAGATGGGGTTTCACCATGTCGGCCAGGATGGCCTCAATCTCCTGACTTCATGATCCACACGCCTTGGCCTCCCAAAGTGCTGGGATGACAGGTGTGAGCCACTGTGCCCAGTCCAGCATGCTTTTTTGTAGGTTAAGCTGGAATGGTCTGGGTGACTAATCTGCCACCTGTTTATCCTCCCTCTCCATCCCTAAGTGCCCTGGAAGTAAGGATTGGCCCCCTGTCTTTTCTCTTGCTCTATGCCCAGCATGGAGATCTTTAAGAACTTCTGAATGAATGAACACACTTCTCTAGGCCCCACAAGGCTTTGCTTGTTGGATGGTGTTGTCTCGGGCTCTGGCTGGTGGCAGCAGCAGGCAACAGCCCTGTGTCCCTAGCACCTGTGTCCAGCCCTCCTCATGCCAGCCTTCTAGGGACAGAGCTGCTTTCATGTCTACACTAGCTACAGGTGCAAAGCAGCATCTGGAGTGCTCACAGAAGCCCTGCCGTTTCAGGAATCATAGCCCCATTTTGCAGATTAGGAAAACAAGGCTCAAAGAGGCTCTGACACCTCTTTGGAAGGAGATTTTGGAGCGAATTTCTGCCCAAGAACATCATGAACTGCCCACATAGGCCAAAGGTTTTGTCTGTGCAGAGTGGAACATCTAAGCCTGTCCGTTTCTCAATTGGACATATGAATAGTGTTTAAAAAATTTTTTTTGGTTTGATGTCCTCGCCTACCAGGGCTGCTGTGGGTGAGCCGCATTCCACCTGACTCACCGGGTCCCAATTCCGACTGTGTGAGAATTCCCCAGGGCGGCCTTCCTGCTCCATCTCTGGCACCTACAATAAAGGAGAGAGAGCTTGGGGCTGACTCATGCTGCCTCACATCACTCCTTGGTGACCTTCAGCACATCTCTCCAAGCCTCAGTTTACTCCTCTGTCACTGGGGCTAAGTCAACTCCCCCTTGCAGAATTGTTGGGGAGGAAGAGTCCCACCTCCCCCAGAGGTTTTGGGAATGCACCCCGTGGAGGTCCCATTGCTATCCCACAACTTCACGGGCTGTGTGACCAGCAGACACGAGAAAGGGGAGGGCAGCTCATTTTTCAAACAAAACGGTATCAGATGTGTGATTTGGTTAAAAAAATATATATTTCTGGCAATGGCTTCAGCTTTGCTCAAGAGAGAACCGGGGTGGGGGGAGGAGGTGGAGGGGAGGCCGTTCCAGTGGCTTAAAAAACCCCAGATAAGTGTGTGGTGATTAAGCACAACCATTAGCTCTAATGGGCAATAATTGGTGATGAGAAATAATTTTCTAGGGCACAACTGCCCTGGTGCCCCTACGCCCGGCCCCAGCAAGGGGACGGCCAAGGGGCTGATTAACTCCCAGGCTGGAGGAAATGTTGGAGGCACAAAAAGTTTCCAGATTCGAGGGTAATTGGGAGAAGTTATTTCACTTTCCACATCAGGCTGATGAGGGGCCACCCACCTGCTGGCAAGGGAGGGGATCGGTCGGCTTCCTGCCCAGGAATGGAGGGCCACTGTGCAAGGGGCAGGGGTGGCCAGCACGGTTAGAGGGTGGGGGCAATTCCCACCTGTGTCACTGCTGGCCATGTGACCCAGGGCGAGTCACCACAGGGTCCCTTCTCTGTCCTGACTTGCTCTCCAACCTACATTTGCACAGGCACTGGTCCCTTTCACCTCAAAATTCACAGACAGACAGACCCACCAGCCAGGAGTTCAGGCTTCCCAAGTGCCTCCCTTCCCCCTGAGCCTGCCCAAGGCCCTGCTAGCCTTAGGGTACCTTTGTGGGATTCAGGGGAAGATGCCCCCTCGGCTGCAGGCTACAGACTTCCCTGAGTGTGCCCAGCAGGAGCTGGCTGGACTCCTTGGAGCTCCTATGTGCAGTGCACAACCTGCACAACAGCTCTCTGCAGCCTGGCTGTGCTCAGGTCTTCATCTCCTTCTTCCTCACTCTGCCCAGTCAGCCTGTCACCAGAAAGTGCTCTCGGTCACTTCAAATGGGTGAAGCCAAAGGCCCCTCCTTTGTGCCCCCCACCTGCCTGCTCCTTCCTTCTTGAACCCTGCTGCTTCCAAGACCTGCCTTCCTCTCTGTCTCAGCCTCACTCCCCTATTCCCCAGTCTGAAGCACAAATTCTCCCATCCCCAACCCAATCTCTCTCTGAAAGCCCTTTGCCCTGAGGACTTACCACACACCCTGATCATCTCCTTCCCAGACCTGTACCTCTCCCTGGGTCATAAGTGGGCCTCTCTCCTCTCTCTCTTCCTTTCTCTCCCTCTCCCTCCTCCTCTCCACATCTGTGTGCATGCGTCTTCAGTGTGTTTGCCACAGTGTCTGATTCAGGTGAGTGAGACAGCATTGTTCCTGAAGCTAATGAGATTCTGTGCAATAGGAAGGCCTTTCCCTCCCCTGGCTGAGGGCCACAGTGCCCTCCAAGGCATGAGACTGAGCTCCCTATCACAGGAGGCAAGTAACCAGGGCCTGTATGGTTGCACCCCTAGGATGCTGCAGAGGGGAGTCCTGCCCTTTGAGGACTAGGTGGGATAATCCAAGGAGGTCCTGGCCTAGGATGAGCTGAGGCCGCTAGGCTGACCCCAGGGCAGCCTCCCCTAGCTGTCCTCTCTGCCATCTGCAGGCCAGGGCATCAGCTCCCAAGTTGCAGGTAAGGTCAGCCTCAGGATACCTCCACCACTGACCAGCTGCCGAACCTCTCTGGGCCACAGTGTCCTCCTCTGAAAATGAAAATCATAGTGTTACCAACCTCATAGGATGGACCTGAGGATAAAGGAGCTGGCCATAGAGGTGCTTCCAGGACTGACTGGGCCCAGAAGCCTCCAGGACGGCAGCTGCTGGGATCGCTGCATGGGGCAGTGAGACATCAGGGCTGTTCCAGGTTCAGCTGTCCTGCTCAGGTTGTTGCCCACAAAGTCCCTTCTGTATGTGCGGCACTCCCAGAATTGCACAGCGTCAGTAGTAAAGGTAATACTGTGTGGCGGGTGCTGTTTTAAGCGCTATAGATGAGTATGTTTATTCTGTTTCTCCACACCTCTGTGAGTGGGCATTCTTGTGACCCCCATTCCATCGGCGAGAAGCAGGGGCAGCCAGATTCAGCAACCTGCCCCAGGCAGGCCGGGCGTGCACGGAGTGCTGCGCCTCCTCTGAGCCAGCACTCTGGCTTCACAGTCGGTGCTCGTAGCATTTCAGCTGTTTGACTCCAACGGCAATTACAGCCACAGCCTTCGCCGCCGCCACCACCATCCCCTTCTGGGTTGGAGAACACAATGCACCGCGCACAGGCATTACCAAAGCCCACAAGCTTCGGTCTCCGTCATCGTGCCCTCTTCACAGATGAGCAAACGGAGGCCAGACGTCACCGGCAGGCGGCGCTGCAGAGCGCGAGGCCCCGCACCTGCGCGGGGAGCGGCAGGCCCGGGGGACGCAGGTAAGGTAAAGCCAGGCCGACCGGTACTTGGACGCTCACCTGCAGGGGAGGAGGTCTGCGCGGGGCGGGTTGCCGCCCCTCCCGGGGTGCGGGCGGAGGCGGGGGCGGGCGGGGGCTTTCAGCAACTCGTCCGCGGAACATTTGCATGTAATTTGGGAGCGGGTCACATGTGGGAGTCATCAGGCGGAGGAAAGGCTCAATCAGGGCCTAATCACTGTCTGTTTGGAGGGGTCTGAGCCCAAGTGAAAAATGAAAACGGGGCTATTTTGCTTGAGTGACAGCCATCAGCGGCCACCTTTGACCTCCCCACTCGGGCTGGGTCTGCCCGAGCTTTAAAAACCAATCATCAGGGAAGGGGTGGGAGGGGATCCCATGCCTCGGCTCTCCCCTCCCCCATCCTTTTTCCTCCCTGGACCTGGGTTTGTAAAATTCATTCATTCACCACCCCCATTCATTCTTTCAACAACCCATCCTGGGGTAGCAGGACTCCCTGGTCAGGGCCCCTGGGGCAGATGCCGGATTTCAGTTCTGACACTCACTTGCCAGCCGGCGACCTTAGGCAGGTGACTGCCAAGCGTCAGTGTTCCCATCTGCGGAATGGATGCAGGAGGTACGCAAAGTACAGTTGATGTTGGCGAGGTGCTGAGGGAGGCGGGGCCGCAGGGGTAGGGGGCGAGCCCTCCCTCAGCCCTCCCCCTAAGGGGCGGGAGCTTTGCAGAGGAGGGCCGTGAGGTCAGGTAGGGTGCAGTGGCTCTGCTTTTTGCATGAATGCGTACCCTCCCTCCCACATCCTGTGCACAAGGCGCAACCTCGTTCCCAATGAACCTCGTTCATTGGGAAGGGCAGTGACTGCTCCCTAAAGCAGCCGTGAGCTCGGGCAGTTTCTGCCCTTGGTTCACCCCGGCACAGAGAGACTCAGCTCACTCTCGCAGAATGGTCTCCGGATCCCTAGAGACCCAGGGGCCTGGACCCAGTGATACAGAGTGACCAGTGCAATGGCGGCCTGCAGGCCACTGGGGGCAGCAGAGAGGAGCCGCTCCTGGTTCAGGCGGCACAAGCTCAGTGAGCAAGCTTCTGCCTGCACAGCCTGTGGGGGCCAGCTGCGCCCCACTGCACCAGCCGCGGCCCACCGTGCCTCTGCCCTCCCTGCCACCCTGCGGAACCCTTTTGCCCCGAAGGGGCCCTTGGAGTGGTCCTCCCACGGCCGAGGCCGGGAATTCCAGGCAGCGGGTGCAGCTGCGGGTCGGTGGCCCTTTCAGGCCTGAGGAATTGCTCCAGGGGCTGGGGGCCGGGGGCTGGGGGGGAGGGCGGGGCGCCCGGTACATTAGCGCCTGCTTTGCTCGCTGATGGTGTTTATAGGGATGTGGAACGGGCCTCCAGGAAACCGTCTGGCAGGCCGGGCTTCAGCAAATGGATTGCCAATTAATCAGCATCTATTTATGAGAACGTTTAAACCATTATTAATGTAGTGTAAATAAGGAACCGCTGGCGGCCCAGGGCGGGCAGGGGGCCATCTGCCGAGGCTGCCATCACATTCCTGGGGCCTGTTCCCGCTCCCAACCTCCTGGGGAGGGGTCCCACCCCTTGCCCTCATCCGAAGCCAAGCCTGCTTCTCCAGGTGCCAGCTTCCTCCTGCTGGGCCCTTCTGGTTCTGAGACCTGCGGCTGCAGCCTGCAGAGTTCTCAAGTTTTTCACCCAAGATGCTGGACAGGGGCGTGAAGGGTGAGTCCCGCTTCAGTCACTAGGCAGGAGTCCGGCAGCAGCCCCTGGCAGGCCGTGGCAGGGCGCTTTTCCACCCACGGGGAGACCGGGCAGGTGTCCCACGCTGGGCCTGGCCTCTCCCCTCCTCCTTTCTGGAGGAGTAGATCCTCTGGACAGATCTATTCCTCACCCAGAGCTCAGCCCCTGGAGGCACGGGAGGAGGGGTTGGAGCACTTTCCCAGCCCCTCCCTCACCTGTGGGCCACAGTTCCCAAGGCCTCCCCCACCCCCAAGGCCTAGAGGCTCTGAGCTTCTCCCCCCAGACTATCCCAAGGACAAAATAAGGTGACTTGTGCACCCTGATGGCACCTGCACTTCTCTCCAAAGATGTCAGTTGCTCTGACTGCCTCCTGCCTGACCTGACCTTGAGCTGGGTGGCCTCTCTGAGAGCTGGTGTTGACCAAGACACGGCAGCCCACTGAGGGGGGGCTACAGGGTTCTCAGCCTGCTCACCCCCAATGTCCTGATTATTTTTCTGCCTAAGTAGCACCTCAGATGGCTTTTTCTTTACCAGTTGTACCCATTTTACAGATGAGAGACTGAGGTTTAGAATGGAGAAGGTGCTGCCTGAGGCCACAGAGATAGGGAGCTAGAACTGAAGCGAAGCCCACCCTGTGCCTGGTGCTCTGCTGGCCTCTGAGTTTCCTAAACTACATGGCCACATATTTTGAGACCTTTCAGTTTTTATGAATGCTCCCCAGAGTTTCCCAATCTCTGTGTTTCAGAGCTGCACTCACCTGGGCCTGCCTCCTTTCTCTGAACACTTTGCATGGAGGTGGCCGCACACCTTAGTATTGGATGTCAAGCAAGAGCAGTTAGCCTGAAATTTCACTCTGCAAAAAAGAAAACAAATAATGAGTTTGAGCATTGGCGCTGTGTGGCCTCAAACATCTTTGGTAATTCAGAGGACTTTCCCTGCTTTGGAAAATTGAGGTGTTGATCTAATGTGGACCCTTGACAGGGAATGCCATGTGGAGGTGGCAGCATGGTACTGAGGAGGGGGCCAAGCCCTCCAAGGCAGGATGGAGCTGCTCCCTTCTGTCCCCACCCTGCGAACAAGGCCTTCCCTCCACCCTGTGCCACACTGCTAATGCTTACAGTTTGTGTGTTGATTTCTTTATTCAACTCTGTGCCCCTTGAGGATAGGGACAGCATTTTCACCCCCATTACATCCTGGTGCCTCGAGAAGATGCCAACCAATGTTTGTTGACTGACCATTTGGGAAACTTCTGCTTGGCACCGCTTCCCCAGGCTCCTCTCTTTTCTCTCTGGTCCTGGCCCATCTGCCTTGCTGGCTTCAGCCCTGGTCACTCCACCAACCCCCAGAGCCACCCCAGGGTCCAGAAGCATGGAGGGGTTCAAGGAGCCAGGACTGGACCAGACAGCCTTTTAGATGGATATCTCATCTGTCCCAACCCACCCATGTGGGAACACCAGGCCTCAGGACAGCCACCTGCCTGTGGTGACTCCGCACACCAGGAAGCTGAGGTTTCTGATGTCCTGAGGGGCCCCCAGAGCTGCCCCACACCCTGGGACCCCCTGACCTGCTGCACTGGCATGGTAGGAGGAAAGAGAACAAAGACGAGGCATGTGCCCCTATTTTCCGGCCCCGCTCCCTGCCCCCCATTAGCCTAGTGAAGCTTGTTTATATTATAGCAGGAATTATTCCAGCCCTAATCAGAGGCCCTGCGAAGTTTCGGCATTTGAGGTATTTCTTTACCCAAGGACACTCTCCAATCCTATAATTTCCATTTCCCCAGACACCCCTGATTGAAAGCAAACATTTTATATTTGTAAAGGAAAAGGGCTGTGTGCTATTCATAGCCCAGCCTGGTTGTCCAGAATTAGGCCCTGGGGTTCTGAAGGCCTGGAGGGACGGACAGATCTGGGAGGGTAGCAGGGGGCATGGCTAGGTCCCAGCCAGGAGAGGTGTGGGGATATCCCAGCCCAGGGGTGGGGGGACCAAGGAACAGAGAGAGAACCTCTCTGCCACCAACTGCCAAGCCAGGGATGCCTGGCATTGCACAGCCTCCCTGGTTGAAGGGGCAATGTATGGGAAGGGGGTATTATAGTAGCAAAGCCTGTGGTCTGGGAAGAGGGTGGATGGGGGTGCAACTTGAGTCTATTCCTCTTCTGCACTCCCTTTCCAGGTAGCTTCACTGCCTCTTGCAGGTGAGGCTAGGAGGCACACTGCAGGGATGGGACTGAATATAATACTAACAGTGAGCCTGAGGACAGAGTCCCGAAGGGACTTTGAGAAGCCTACTGTCCAGGGGACTCTGTCTCCACTTTGGGCCCCTCCATTGTCTGAGATTCAGCTCCCTCCTCTCCTGCAGGTGCTGTGCACCCCGCTTTAGTCACACTCACCCACTGTTCCACAACTTAGGGGCTGGGAAGCACATGGATCCCAGGCCAGTCTGCTCCCCTTGCCCTTCCCTTCTGAGTTGTCTCCTCTCTCCCTTGATGTGGAAGTCCAGGCAAGGGCCATGTGTCCTTCACACGAGGACTTCAGACCCCCGCTTCCTCGAAACGCTTCTTCCGTGTGCCACCCACTACTAAGCAAGCCTTTTGGAAAGATGCCTCCATCAATCCTTAGAAGCAGATATTATTATTCCCATTTTATGCATAAAGAAACCAAGGCTTGTTGAGCTTAAGTCGCCATTGTCCCATCTGTGTCCCTTGGATATCAGTGCTTCAGCACTCACCTCCTAAGCCCAGTGTGAATAAACACGGGCACGGTGTGCTGGAGGTCACAGCCTGCTTGGCATGTGCTGAGAGGGGCACACACTTTATTCTTATTTGAATGAATAGTTTTCAGGGAAGCAGGGGAATGAAGAGCGACTTCAGGGAATGAATATCAATCTGTATTGTTGGAATGATTAAGAGACTGCATTTGGAATTTAGTTTTTTCCTTAAAATTTAATGTTTATTTTTATCAAAGTCATGCATGTGCAGCATTTTGTTAACTGCTTTATTGAAGTATAACTGATATGTAGTAAAATGCGAACTTGTGAAGTGTGAAAGTTGGTGAGTTCTTAAACAGCTTTTTTGAGATATAATTCACATACCATACAATTCACCCATTTGAAGTGTAAAATTCAGTTATTTTTGGCATATTATTATTTTAAATTATGGTAGAGTATACATAACACAAAATTTGCCATTTAACTGTTTAAGTGTATAATTCACTTAAGTACATGCACATGGTTGTGCAGCCATCACCCCAAACAGAAACTACCC